ATTGCTTTTTACTTTACAAAATGCATTTGAAAAGTCATTGCAATTCTTGCGGATCAGATTGTAATCCTTTCCACGAAACTCTTGGGCACCCATTTGTGTCACTATTTGTTGAATACTGTCTTCAGTTAGCTCTGTATAACCAATTAGTTTCGATTCCCTAATCATACAGAATATTCAGTAAAAACCTAATTGTTATGCCATTAAAACATTACAAATGAGTATTACTTGTATTTGAAAGTATCGCTAACACTTAGGGATCGGATATCCTTAGGAGGGGTAACAAAAATACCGCTGAAGTCGTGCGGATGTCCTCCGAAGGAATATTCTTTACCGTAAACTTCGACTCCCGTATGAAAAACACCCAAATCTTGCGAAAAAATATTTATGTATTGATTTGCGTCCGGCTTTCAGTGCATAAGAAATTCAATTATCAACGAAAAAAGATCTTAATATTGAAAGATATGATAGTATTTACCACTTCATAGATATGAAGAGTCACCGATTGCTTCTGTGCTGACATTCCTATAGATATTCTCGAGTTTAAAGCAAAGAAGAGATAAGTTATTTAAATATACTATCAGTTAATATGCATTCAATTTAAACGTTTCAATCGATTCAATGCAACGCTTTTCACAACAAATTAATTCAATCCGTGAATCGATAAATAGTTTTAATTGTTATAACACTTTATAAATCAATACATTTCTCCAATAAGTTAATGCTATACTGGAAATTCCAGTCTGGAATACAGTCTACTCTACACTGTATTCAATCGATGCATACAAACCAATGGCAAAAACCCTCACTAATAAGGCCCACACATAACACCCGCCGCGATATACGTACAGTATATGCGAATGAGTTGTCACAGTGTTTGTGAGCGGGAATGACAGCTAGCGTTGAGAAGGAGTGAGCGATTGTTTGTGTTGTTTGTTGTGGTTTTTGAGGACCAAAAACATGATATGACATCAGAGACACGGATCTGATTATCACCACCAAAGACACCACCGGACACATCACACACCACCGCATCTATACACACATTCACCACACCATCCCATTGTCATCCGAGTCGAGATCACATCCATCTATATATCACACAAATGTCTTGTAGCGAAAGGTATGTGTCATTAAATGTCATTATTTTTAGCAATCGTTTCATGTTTTTAATGGTTATGAAAACTAGAGCTAAATATAGGATTTGTTTTTGTTTTTTGTACCAAATGTTTGTTTGAGTGGTATTTCGTGACCACAAATGAAACTTTAAATCTAATGCCAAAATGTATTGATGTTTGCATTTGAAAGTATTTCTGGCTTTGAAAATGACATTAAAATGACTCATTTGTTTTGATTGTGTCTTCAATGGCAGACTCTGTTCGCTAAACATCACACGATTGGTGTTATGCAAGCCTTTAGGACCGGATGTGACGGCGATTATGATAGCCGTGAAGATGCAGA